CTCCTAAAATCTGTAGTGAGAGGCTACTTCTGCTCATTTTTGAAAATCCCAAAGGGATGTTTGTATTGCCAGGGACATTAGTGGGTATATTCCTTTAACTCCACATCTACCCTGGCAGCTTCCACAGCCGCAAACAGCTGTGCATCCTCAGACACCCCACGAGCTCCCTTCAACAGAGCTGTGAAACAAGAGTGAGCACAAACCAACCGACTCCTGCAGCATAAGTAGGAGGGAAGTGTGCAGTTAAATGAATGCTCAAGATTTTCCACCTGTTTGGACCTGTTAACTGTGAAGCTGTAATCAGTAATTCTTCATGCTCCCAAAGCTAATAGGCCTGCCTTCTGTGGTGTTTGCCATCTTCAGGTATCCAAACGTTATTCAGAAGACACTGGAGTGATCCTTGCATTTCACAGGGAGAAAGTAAGAAATTGTGCCAAATAACCACAACTACCCACTAAGTCAATAGCCAAGTTGAAAAAAAAACAAAAAAGACTTCTTCCTTAAATTGCAGTCCCAAACTTTACATATGAGAACCCAGTGATTATTGGAAATACAATTTCTGTGACCTTTAAATTCTAATACTAACAGCAGAACTAACAGCATGGCCATCTGAGCCTCTGTTCCCTGCCCTTGGCCAGATATTGGTTTCGTACATCAAGACATATAGTGGCTGATTTTTGTAAACTTTCTCTCCTTGTTGTGCAGACTTCGGAACTGATTTGGGAGGAATTCTTGCCTCACAGCAAAATTACATGCCAGATTACAATAACATCAAGTAAGTGTGCTTTATTGAGTTTCCTTTAGGATTTAGTCTTGGTTTTTTCTTATATCTATCTATCTAAAAGTAACTATTAACTTCCAAGCATGACAATCCTTCTGTCAGAGAGTTTTTTTACCTGCCTATTCTATTACCATTCCTAAACCCAGCACATGTATGTGACTTCACACTTGCTTAGATATTGTAGACATCAGACTAGAGAAGATAAGAAACTACTATGAAACCAAGAAGTACCTGAAATTTTCTTGAGCCTGCAGAAAATGGAATCCAAATAATCCTTTCCAAAGCACAGTTCTCAAAGCAAATGATCAGCAAGGGTGCTTTCCAGTCAAAAACCCAGGTTCATCTAGAGGAGGAAGAGACCCTGAAGCAAGGCAGGAAATTCATACTTGATGTATGTAGGAGGTGCGGAATTTTTCAGCCATTTGTATACAGTTCTATAGGCCTATTAAACCCAATTCCATCTGATTCATGAAAATTATCTGTAAGGAACTAAGATGTATCATCACATCAAAAGTAAAATTTGACCTTCAGGAGGTAAATTGAACTTTTTGATCCAGTATTGACAACTTGTAGAAACTCACAGAGCATTCAAGGCTTCGGAGTTTTTTTCCCCTTTATGCATTTGGTCACGTAATCTCACGCAGAACATCTGAGTCACTCATGAAATCCATTGACTGATATTTGCTGGACAAGAGTAGAAAAAAATTTCCTTTAAATTCTGAAACACATCAGTGTTTTAAAGACAGATCTTGTCACTTCTTTGACAGGCACTGTGTGAAGCTGGCATTGACAGACAGCAAGAGCTTCAGTGTGGTTTCAAATATGTCACTCCATAATATAAAGTTAACTACAGCAGACTTTGTGGTGCTAGACCATCCACAGAGCTCTTTGAACAGAAGAGCCCCTTCCCATCTCCCTTTATCCCATCCAGCTTAGCAGTAACTCATTTGTCTGCCTTCATGACTTCTGGAGAGGTTTATCACCCAATCAATGTGATTAATTTTTAACCTTTCCTGGACTACCTCTTTTTCAATATTTCACCTTTACAAAGCAACAAGCATTGGTTTTAATGACCAGCAAGTTGTGCTGCTGCCATTTTAATTGCAGAATTTGTTTCAGACTCTTGCCTATCATCACTGAGGCTCAAGCCTTAGACCACTCCACCAGAACCAGGAGACTTTCTTTTAAAACCTCAGGCAGGAGGACCTGTGTACCAGTGCTCAGCAGCAGTTTGGTATTTCTCTTTACATTAGTAATGTTTCAGGAAAAAAACACTGCTGGAGCAATGCAGAGCAATGCAAGTAGAGGATTGAACTCTGATGCACTGCTGCAACCACCCTTAAAATGATCAAAATTATCTTAGGGTGGCTTTGCTCTGAGCGGACCCCAAGTATAAGAAGTGACACTGGCTTTAGGACCTGTTCTTGGCAGAGATGAGGGTTCTTAATATTTTCTTGTCCATCTCTTGCTGCCTTGCCAGCCACATCTGCAAACTTTCCTCTGGTACAAATACAGCTGAGGAGAAGCTTCCATTCCAGGGAGCAGATTGGCACACTTCCATCTGCCTGATGTTAGACTTCCTGACTTAATCTCTTTAGTCAGGTGTACAGGGACTGGAAGATGACAAGTCTCACTGCAAAAAAATGCACACCCCGAAGACAACAGACAGTTGAAGTCTTCTGGGCAGCACTGGTCCCTTAACTTTCAGAGCATGCTTTGGAATTGCCCTTCCTTAGCATGGGACAGAAGCAGGCTCTTTGCATCCCAAAGGTCCCCTTCACGCACACTTTCACACCGTCACATCAGTGCCTTTCTCACTAAGTGGGCTGAAATAAATATATAAATGGACTAGTTTTCTGTGGGCTTTAGCAAATGACCTCTTAATCAGTCAAACAGAAAAAAAAACACAAGCAAAAAATGTTCCTTTGCCCAGGAAACCAATGCAGAAAGCTCAGGAAAATCCATTTGCCCTGGCAGAAAGGACATTGCCTCATGTCCCTGTGTAGTAGGGAGGGGGTTACTTTTCATCGTCTTTATTTTTGTCTAAAGGCTGTGTTAGGTTCAACAGGGAGCTACAGATCTGGAAGATGCAGCTGGCTCCAAAAGCAGCAAAAGGTAAGAAAACAGTAAGGTAGAAACCTCCAGTGATAAGGGAATGAATCAGGTACTGGATAGAAATGAACCTGACATGATTTGAGAGAATGTTAGCAAGTCTGAAAGAGAAATGAGCCTTAAAAAAACCTTCTGAGTGGTATTCAAATATCCAATCTGTCATCCTTTTCTCTTCCAAATGAACTCCCTGCAGCAAAATTACCTAAATTGGGGTACCAGAAAACTGTAAATTTTTTATCTACTGTCTTTACAAGTGAGTTTCCTGGTGGCTAATGACAACAAATTGGTTAATAAAGAATTTCATTTGAAAAGGTCAGCTGGGCTTAGATTAAATATTTCTTCTGGGAGAACTTTGGCCTTAAAATTTCAAGCTCATTTAAATAAAAGTTTGCTCAGAAGAATACTGTGGAAAAGAGCAGGCGGTCCATCAGTGGCCTAGTGGTTAGCATGCAGGACTCTCACTGCTGCAACCCAGGTTCGAATCCCAGTCTCCTGGGCAGATGGAGCTCATTAGCCCTGTGAGGCCATCCATCTATGAGAAGGTCACTCTAAACAAACCTACGTCCTGAGGACCTCACTGCCATTGTCCAAGCTTGCTTGGCCCCGGCAGATGAACCTTAGGATTAAAGGGTGGACTCAGTGCAGCGCAGGCTGTGTCTCACCTAAAAAATCCATTGCGCAGGCTGGAAAGGTAAAAGACCTTTCCCAAAATCTTCGTTCACAAAGACTGGCCATCAGTAGCCATCCTCCTGCATCCCCCAGCCCAGGAGCTAACTCCCAGCCTGGAAGGGGTGATCTGCCCTGCCCCCCTCTGCAGTCACATGGGCAGGAATTCTTTCAAAGGGTCTCTCACAGCAGCTCCAGTAGGCTGTGGTTCACAAACAGCATTAGATCCACTATCCTGGCCTTTGTGCATTATATATCATGGGATGACATTTTCCACAGTGAACTCCAACCAATTTACTTTGGGATCAGTCGTCAAGAGACACAAATGACCTCTGAACAGCTAAATTTCTTTTTTAAAAATTCTAGAGATTGCATTCTAGCTGATTAATCCATTGTCCTGGTTTTGGCTGAGATAGAGCTCATTTTCATCTCAGTAGCTGGTACAGGCTGTGTTTTGGATTAGACTGGGAATAATGCTGATAACACTGTGATGTTTTGGTTGTTGCTGAGCTGTGCTTACCCTAAGCCAAGGATTTCTCCACCTCCCATGCTCTGCCAGAGAGGAGCTGCACAAGAAGCTGTGAGGGAGCATGGCCAGGACAGCTGACTCGAACTGGTCAAAGAGATATTCCATACCATAGAACATCATGCCCAGTATATAAACTGGGGAGAGCTGGCTGAGAGGACCTGATCCTTGCCTGGGGACTGGTTGAGCTTCAGCCAGTGGGTGGTCAGCAACTGTATTTCTTAGTTTATTTATCTATTCTTCTTCTTGTTGTTGTTATTATTGTTATTATTATATTTTTCTTTGTTTAAATTATTAAACTGTTGTTATCTCAAAAACCCACAAGGGTTTTCTTATTTTTTTTTCTGATTCTGCTCCCCATCCCATTGGGAGGGGGCAGGCAGTGAGCAAGTGTCTGGATGGTGCTTTATTGCCAGCTGGAGTTAAACCACGACATCCATGACACTGAGATTCTAGTTTGGGCTGAACAGCTCATTCTTCCGGAGCCAGTCTTGTGACTAAGTCATAGCTCCTGTACAGTGGGCCTTTTAAGATGCTCACAGTTAACGGGGTTTGATTTCAAAAGGGCAATTTCCTGCATATATTGGTCTCTACCAAATAATAGGAATTTATAAATAAGTGCCTTAAAAAACCCTGGGACTTAGCTTACATTTTATTCCTCAAGGACTTGCAATCCCGGAACTGAGGGCTGCCCCTTCCCACACAGCTGTAGCCATGCCACATTCTCCTATTGCATCTAATTTGTCCACATCATTTCTATACATTCTGGGAAAAGCAGACCAGCCCTGTTTTGAACCAGAAGATGCTAATTTGTTGTGATCCCAGTAAGCAAGGCACTCAAACATTGTGAATTATAACGTAAAATGCCATTCATTACAGTTAATATGACAAAAAGGAGAGTATAGATAGTCTTACCTCCCTCGGGTGGAACCCTTGAGCTGTGCTATATTCACTGGGTGTGCAAGCACACCAAGCACATCCATAGAAAGGTCACCCCACTTTAGGCTTTCGAGCTTCAACGGGATGTTCTGAAAAGAAAACAATTCTGCTTATCATTCCTACTATCAAACAAAAAGGATGTTTACATGAGAACTTGTTGCTGCACTTTTAGTTAAAGACAAGGACACACAGGGGTGTAATTGCCTGTACTGAGGGGAAACTGCCCACAGGCTCCTTGGTTGCAATCAGGCAATGGAGATCCTCTTGCAGCAGGGGATATACACAGCACCACATAGGCAGGAAAGTCAAATTATACCTGGGGCATGGGGCAGCACAGAACAGCCTACACTTACACAGGTTATCTGGCTTGTGAATCCCTACTTGCTCCTTAACAATGTTCTTCCTGTCACGATCCCTGGTGACCACCATCAGAGAGAAGGGAAGGTTTGCCTCCTCAACACCACCAAATGGCAAAGAGATCCCTTTCTCTGGGGGCTTTGTCACTCCCGTTCCATGGTGTTTAACTCCATCTATGCACAACACCAGGAAGTGAGATGCTGAGCCCTTGGCTCTGACATTCATGCCCCTGAGCTGTCCCTCTCATAAAAATCAGCATCCTTCTCCTTTTGACCCTAAATCACCTCTATTCCCATAGAGCCATGGACAGGCAGCCTGTTCCACCACACTGCCAGCCACACGGACAGCAGTCAGCCCTGGGGTGCCAGGGGGGGCATAGCCATCAACCCCAATCATGGATGTGCACCTTCTGGCATGGATTTGCTTCCTCTCCACCTAGTTTGGGGAGTATGGGTATGCCTGTTATCTCCTGTCCCTTCTACAGCGTTACTCAGACTTCAGAAATGAGAAAGAGGCAGCTGATCAGGTCCTGCACTTTTGACACCACATCAGAAAAACCACAAAGCCTTATGTAAAGTCAGAAATGAGGTGTGACAGCAGCTTTTCATGACTCATCCTGACACCAAGATTGTGGTTTCATGCTCTGAGTACCTTCAAATGAAACTACCATTGTTCAGTTGAGTTAGAATTGAAGTGTGTGCAGAAATAACCAGCAATATCTGCAATAAGGGTTTCACAGAATATTAATCTCTTTCTCAGATTGATAGTGAACTCCAACAGCCCTTTAAATCTCAAATAACTTGTGAGAAATAAAGAACTATTAACTTTTAATGAAGCCCCAAAACCCATGTCAGGCTGTAGAATGAGGCATGAGCTTTAAATACTTCATGTCTTGCTACAGGGAGAAGCCAAGGACCTGGAACAGAGAGGACTCCTCTCTCCACGTGCCTGAGCCAGCTAGACCTCCACAAATCACTGCTGGATGTAAAAGTGCTCGTAGTGACGTGCTCTGCCCTGTCTGTTTATGCTGAGGGTAGAAATAAGGAAAAGGAGGGTGTCTTTTAGGTGAAAGTGGGATTATGGGAACTGCAGAGGGAAATTCTTGGAACCATTCTGCCTGCCATCGTGAAATACCAAATCACCAGTGACAAATGGCAATGGCAAACCCACCACAATATTCCAAAGGGGAGACATGAAGGAGCAGGATTCTGTCCGGGGCAAGTGAACAGGAAGCAATGATCACTCAGTATGAAGAGCAGAAAAAAGAAGATGCTGAAGTGATGATAACACAAATTACAGGGCTTTGTCAAAAGAGAATAGCAATAGGAACGTGCTCACAATTGAGCATAAATTTGAGATTAGCTGAAATGGATGACAATTTAATTTTTTTAAAAATGCAGCATCCAACTTTGCCTATTTAGACCTCCAAAGAAGTCAGCAGGTTTTTGAAAGGATATCTCTCCTATCAAGACACTTCAATTAAAGAGCTGCTTTGTTTCCAAAAGCATTCTTCAGCTCATAGAACCCACTGAAAGAGAAGATCCACTGGGCCTATCTCTGAGTAAGATCCAAAATCAACAAGGCGGTCTCTGAAAATCCAAATGACTGACAAGCCTGATTGAGACATAGGACATATGAAGCTCCTTTTTGTTTCTAAATTCAAAGGTTTCTGAATATTGGTATGAATAAACCTGTTCTTGAGGAAGAGGCCAAATGCAGACTTCAGATCTCAATCAGAAATAGTAAAATGAGGAATTTAAAGTAGGTCCATTAAAATTCTATCTGGTGCAGCTGAAAAACATTTGATAGTCTCATACAGAAGACATGAGCCCTAGATTACAAAATTTCTTCATCAACAGGCCAGGAAAGCATTTGTCATAAATTATTTGGGTATATGTAATGCAGCCCAGGAACAGCACTACAGATTAGATGATAATCCTGAGATCTCTTAACATCTGCCATTCAGAGGCCTTCTGCTCAAGAGAAGGGTTTGTGCTAACAGACATTTGCTCTAAGGAAGGCAGATTTAAGAAAAAAAACAACCAAACACACAAAGCCCAACAAACACATCCAAAAGGAAACAAAAATCAAAGGAGTAGTTAATAATTAAAAAATGTTGAATGTTTAATGACTGAAATGTTTTTCTTGTGGTCATTCATGTCATCTACTGTGGCATCAAAACTCATGCACAGTCCCTGGGCTGGTCCTTGCTTTCCAACCTGCCCCAAATACTGTCACTTCTGCTTCTCTAGTGAGGGTGACAAGTGCCAGTTAGGAAGATCAGCTTCCTAGAGCTATTTCTACATATTTCATAGACTGTTGTTGAGGCCAAGGGGGTGCTTCTCACAGGGGATTGACATGCTAAACTGAACTGAGCAAAATAAACGCCATTTTCTTACACAATCACAAAAGGATGAGCAAAGATGAAGAAAACTGTCAGAGAATTAAAAAATTGAAAAAAAACCAGACAAGTGAAAACACAGAAACTTCTACTTGGAAAAGAGTTGCTGATTGCCTCTGGGTCACTTTGCACATGAAGTGAGCTCTGGGCAGCTCAGCTAAACCTTGTGTCATTCGGCTGTGAGACACCTGAACACCCCTGTCCACAGAAACCTATGCAGCTCTGAAAGGAAAAGATCTTTTCGGATGAAAGCACCACATCTACTGTTCCAACAATGCTGACAACCATCCTGGCACAATGTCACCGTGGTTGTTGACAGCCTGTCTGTTGCTCCTTCAGATGTTTTGTCCCTTTTCCCAAGCCACAAAGTGATACACTCAGTAAGGAATCAGAAAAAAGATGGTAACAGGAAAGTAACATGGTGGCAATAATCCAGTAACAAAGTCAAACACTTCTCTGCTCACTCCTTCCCAGGACCTTTCCACATCCCATGTCACCACTGGAACAGCCAAGTAGGGTGGGATTACTCCTGTGTGCACATTTTTGCCAAACTCTATCCAAAAGTCACTTTCCTCTTGTACCACACAGCATATTTCCATGTATTAAAAAATTTGCACCTAACTCTTTCTGCAGGCAACTGCAGAAATGTTCTGCCAAACATTACCATGAGCTACACACTCTCAGGTTGAGTACGAATATCTGCTGGGAATTCTGAGCAGGAATACACACGGTTGTAACCCATGTGTGCTGGCACCTTTTGTTTGTTTTCTCAGAAAATCACAGGAGGTCTGATGCTTTGTCCCATTTCACCAACAGATTTCTATCAGCAACCTTTGTAAAACCCCAGCCACACTTTAAGCAAAGCTTAGGTCAGCTCCCTAGGATTAATTACCTCGGAGTCCAATTTATTTAGCAATTAGGAAAAATTAGACAGTAGCTGGTGAGTTGGCTGTTTTGAAACAAAGGGTCACAGTCCTTAGGTCTGTTCGCAGGCTAAATGCTGGGTTTAGAAACTCATGATTTGAAAGTCTCAAAACAAGTACTTCACATTGCAATTCTTTTTGCATCACTGAGCCTCCAAATAACTTCCCTGTTCAAACTGTGAGCATGCTAACAACAAAAACAAATAAACAGGAATGTAGATTGTTTACATGATAGTTTTCAGTAGCAACTTTTCCTCCGAAGCCTGGCTCATTAACACTGATCTCAGGAAACACTTTGTGATACTGTGTTAAATGTTGTGACACCATCGGGGAACTGCCAATAAACTTTATCAAGGAGAAACTTTGTTCTAGGCAGAAATCCTACAACAGAATCATGTGCATACACCTCCTGCATATACTCCGTGGCTTTAGAGCCCTTCCACTACTGCCCCAGCCCTGGATAAGGATACTGGGACATTTATTGAGGCTCTAGATCCACCTCTGAACCTTCACTCTGCCCATGTGGCTGTAAGGGCAGCTCCCAGCACCGTTGGTTTCATTCTCTGTTTGATTCCCAGTCAACAACTACAAAGCACTGTCTTGCACAGCACATACAAAGCACATCATTTCACAATCCTACTGGTGTTTCCTGAGAAACAGCTTGACACATACAGCACAATTCCTTGGATCATAGGAGATGAACTGCTGTGCAGAAGCTCCATACTGAGCTCATCTGGAGGGGCTGTAGTTATCAGGGCTCTGATGCCAACTTGCCCTGAGTCAATGGAGTGAGACAGTTCTGCAGCAGATGAGGTTTTGGCCTAAAGGAGTATAAATATTTGGATATCATGTTGCTCGATTAACTCACTAGATAACTTCACATGAGACAGCTGAACAAAGTCTTAAAGAGATCATGGATGTTCCAAATGTAAAGCTCCCTTTAGAGTATTGGCTTTTCCTCAGGGACATTGAAGGTTTACGTGGCCCATTTTAGGGATCTTTTTGATGTGGTTGTGATGTACACCCTAAGTTCACTTTGCCTCTCCCTATACTTACTCTATTTATGTTTCTTGTGACAGAATTTGGCAAGTGGATCTGATTTCCTCACTATACATCTGGTTGCACCCTTTCAGGTTATTAAAAATCCTTTCATGGCTTTTCACCTATTACACTGACTGTTCAAAACAAAGCCAAGCAAAGTATTTGCAATGAAATTCTTAATGCTGTCTGCTGGCTCCAAACAGTGGGGACTCTCTGGCCTTGCCTCAAGTTTCTGTAAGGAATGCCACAGCAGCAGCCCTTTTACCCCAGACACATTTCATATTAGCAGATCTCTTTCCTCACTTATTTCTTCCAGAGCCAGGTGCTCACTAGCTCACAAGAGCCCAGTCTTGCGAGTGCGCGTTAAGGGTCACATAGTTTAAGTTTTCTGCAAACCTTCTACACTTTTCATGACTCTCTACAGCCTCTGACAGTCTTATCCAGAAGGGACTATGCAATGTGTCCCAACTGTGCATCTTGGAAAACGCCAGCTAAGGCGAATAAGTCTGGAGGTGAAGAAGAGGACTGGGCATCTGCTGCGCATTTGCTTTCCTTCTGGAGAACTGGGAAGCAAAAGAACTGCTCCCTGGGGTGCAAGTGCTTCACAGATGTGAGGAGGCAGCATTAGCAAAGGACAACAAGTCCTTAAGGATTCACTGCCACTTTCCTGCTCTGAGTAATTCCCTGAGAGGGCAAGGAAAGCTGTCAGGGGTCCTCTGATTTACAGCTATTCACTGTTTGACCCTCCGTCTGCAGGAGCTGCTGCAGCTGCAGTCCTAAAGACAATAGCCTGGAGAGAGATCCACAGAGAAAGGTCCCTGGGAAAGAAGATCACTGTCCTTTCTCCTCCTCCTCTCCCCTGGGAGGTCTGTGTTTTGCCTCTGTGCCACATCAGGTGCAGGCAGCTGTTGCCCAGCACAGGCAAAACCCAAAGAGCAAGTGCAGACTGGGGTTTACACCTTCCGTGCTCAGGAGGGCTAACAAAGCAATTCCATGCCAATTCCATGCATTCGTGGGGTTTAAGGCTGTGCTCTATTGTCTGTGGATTGCGCTGCCTCTTTAAAATCAGAAATGCATGGACAGCTTCAAGGTGCCTCCCACTGAGCAAAGGCTTTGGATGCAAGCACAGAGGCAGCAGAGCCATCCTCCCCTGAGCACAGGGCAAACCTGCCTGGGAGAGAAATGAGCACTCAGCAGAGTCCTCCGGCTGCTTCCAGCTATCCTTTCTCTGCTCTGGTGACAGCAGCACAGGTGCAGGGGAGAAACCTGGAGGCTTTCCCCAGGGTGCCTGAGACCTCCAAGAAGATGAGAGCAACTGCAGGTACACTTTCCTGATAGTGTTATGTCAGTTGTGTTATGACAGATGGTTGTGTTGTCTGTATTTATTTTATAGCTCTCTTGGTATTTTGCAGCAAAACCTGTCTGAAACAGATAATGTTCCTTGCTTTGACAGACAGATTTTGTGTCCCAGTGTTTGTTTAGTACTTCTCTTAAATGAATGTTCACATTACCTAAAGCAGTCTCTTGTTGGAACTGTTCTTTAGTTTCAGGCTTTGGCTTTTTGTTATTCTCTTCTTCTGCAACCGTCAGTTAGAAGAGCAATATGGAGACCAGAGTTGTACAAGAGAGTTTCTCTCGGAAATTTAAGTGTCAGTACATCAGGGGCTGAGGGTGGTTCCAGGGAAAGGGAGCAAGAGCTCCACTACAGAGACTGTCCTTTGTAGCCACGACTGCTATTGTTCAACAGCATTTAACACCCTGAAGACCTACTGCCTGAGTGCAGAAAAAGCAGCAATTCCCCCCAATCCTCTGCTGGGATAGGGTAGGACCGTCCTGACAGCTGAAAGTTTGGTGTGAGGATTCCTAGATGGGACATGGGAAGATGCAAGATGACAGCCCTCTCAGCATTTTGATACAGAGAGGCAAAATTGGGAGGCAGATGCAAGGTTTTTTCCCCTCTGTGTGGAAAAATAAATAATTTTTTAATATTTGGTACAACCAGCAGTACAAGGAGGGGAGCCTGCTCCTCCCCAGCATCAAAAATTCAAGGCACTCTGTCTCGCTTAAGGAAGATTTTCCCTTTCACCTCAAGGGCCAGTTTGTGGGAGCACTCTCCCTGTGAAAGGCAGATTTGCCTTCACAGCGAAGCCCTACAAGGTGATTCACTGAACAAAATCTTGCTTCTGCAAATCGGCAGAGCTTCACCTGTTTGACAGAAGCAATAATGGATGATGCTGGCTGAAAATCTGGTCCTCATACTCAATTAATGGCTGCCAAAAGAAAAGTGCTGGCTTCACTATTTTCCTGGGTCTTTGCAACTCCTTCTTAATTAAGGAATGTATTTAGAAGTCAGGACATCAGTTCTTTTTTCATTCTCACCTACCACATCTCTTTGAGACATCTAGAATAACATGCAGACTTTGTCCAAAAGGCACATCAGATGCTTTTCAGCACATTGAGATGTCATTTTAGTTTCTTCTACATTGCGCAGGGATGACAGCACCATAAGCTTGAAGGCTGGTGGAAGTTTAAACTGGATTTTACGCTCCCCCTATGTTGTCATTTCACTTTGTGCTGAAAATTTCATTGTTGGTAAATAAAACTACCACTGTAACAACCAGTGTATGATGCAACTCAAGGCATTTATTTTACGAGAACAAAAGCATCCCTTCACAGGGTATTTCTTCCCACTATGCACAGGCACCAACAGAGCTGTGGGGCAGTAAGGAGACTATTGCTTTCCTTCAAGCTCAGCATTTTTGCTGTCATTTCCTTTCAGGAAACATTTTCCTCTTTTTGTTCCCACAGGAGGAGATGAATGAGGCTGTTGCTCAATAGTCTTCCAGGGACAAAGACAAGGTGACTCACTGCTCAGAAGGAAACCTTGGATGAGGTCTCATGCCCTGCCACAGTGGGTAACTCTAACACAACACCAAGGGCCCTCCAAGACACACGTGACACAAGATGGCCATGGATCGAGCTGAATGTAACCCAAACGCCTCCACCCACGTCAGCTCTGCTGCAATTTACAACCTCCACGATGGGGATTTCACCTCCTTGAGGAACTTCTCCTTCCCTTTCAATTTCACTTACAGTGACTACGACCTGCCCCTGGACAGCGAAGACGACATGACCAAAACTCGCACCTTCTTTGCGGCCAAGATCGTGATTGGGGTGGCCCTGGTTGGCATGATGCTGGTCTGCGGCATCGGCAACCTCATCTTCATCGGTGCCCTCATCCGCTACAAGAAGCTGCGGAACCTCACCAACCTGCTGATTGCCAACCTGGCAATCTCGGACTTCATCGTGGCCATCGTGTGCTGCCCCTTCGAGATGGACTACTACGTGGTGCGGCAGCTGTCCTGGGAGCACGGCCACATCCTCTGCGCCTTGGTCAACTACCTACGGACTGTCTCCCTTTATGTTTCCACCAATGCTCTCCTGGCTATAGCTGTTGACAGGTAAGTGGGGTGCTGTGACTGCACGAGGAGGTGGCTAGAGCTTCTGAGCCATATTCACCACTAAACCACATCCTCGAGTGCCACATCCACGTGTTTTTTTAACTATTACCTGGGCAGGTTGTTCCAATGCCTGACCACCCTTTCAGCAAAGAAATTTTTCCCTAACTATGCTGCAGTCCTGAGAGACTGCCTGCCTCTTACTCCAGGAATTTTAACAATATAATATAGTCATAATATAATTATTTCTTATGATTCCTCTTCTCTCAGTCTTGTGCACCACGGACTCTGACAGACCCAGGCTCTGAGGATCAGTCTCATGCTGACATGTCTGACACAACTGACTCACAGAAAGATAGTGACCCACTCAGTAAACTCTTCATAGAAAGGCCACCACTAAAAGCCCTCTCTTGTGTACAAACGCAATATACATATATACATTGCATGATTCCCACCCTTTCTTCTCTTTTGTCCCCAATTTCTCTCATGTGCCATTTCATGCTCAAGTCTAATGCTGCATGATTTTTGGCACCTGATCCAAAAGACAGCTCAGGAGCAGTGAGCCCTGATGATGGCTGCACAGATACAGCTCGTGTGTGGCTGATTCAGTTGTTCCTGATGGCAACAGAACTCTGTGGAAAGATTCTGGGGAAGTTCAGAGATATTTTGCCTGGTGTGGGTGAGGGGACAATCAGCTCCTATGAAACAAATCCTTAACAAGCATCTAACAAAATAGCATCTCAACAGCAGTTGAGGACTCAGGGTAAAGCTTCTAAACACTATCATGTATGTATTACCATTTTCTAACACTTTTTCAACCTCTACAAAATCTTCTTGGAACGCTCTGCTAGTGCATCCCAGGTAGATGAAGTAACATGGGCCATGGAGCCCTTATGTCTGCTAAGAAATCAGTTTTCTAGCATATCTCCCTACACATCTTTAAAAACAACTCTGGAAAAGATTAATCACTGAAGCTTGTTGTAAGAACACACTGTTTTTGGTTTCACTGCCCTTTTTTTTTTGTGAGGTTTTGACTTGGTAAACAGAGAGAAACCTCATTTGTTTAACAATCACCTATTCCATGTTAGTTATGTCAAGTGAGTTGTTGACTTCAGTCTCTGAAAAAGAATAGGCTCTAATAAAACTCTTCTCATGTTTAGATCATTTAGAAGGAATCACCTGTGTCAACAGGGTGAGTCTGTCCCATAGGATTTTCCTCAGGTAGGGCTCTCCTTCATCTTCACTGATGTCTGTTCACATGAAACGTAGGAATTTCACATATTTAAGGCCACACCTATACTAGAAAATAATACAGTGTAAAAGGAGAGGATCTGAAGAGTAAGATCATGTGATAAGAGTCCACTGTAAATATGGGGGGGGAGGGCGCAGGTAGCTTTAGCTGGGTCCCCTGGACTGAATGTCCATGGGCACTTGGTGTGTTTTACTTACACTTTTGGAGAACATCTACCAGGACAGTTTCATCTGAATTCAGTTCACGTGCTGCAGGACCACTCCACAGTAACAGCCCAAGTGTGGTAAGCAATGACAATCAGGAAATCCACCACAAAAGCTCTGTCGTGACTCCCTTAGACAGACTGACTCCATTCAGCCAAATGTTCTGCAGAGCAGATATGCATATTTATGAATACATACACATACATCATCCCACGACCTGCTTCCACAGAAACCAAGTTAAAAATGTTCATTTATCAGTTCCACAATGAGGCTGACTAATTCTGCTGGCCCCTGACACCTATCCTGCACTATTAAGAGCCATGAACAATTCATCTGCTTCCAAGATCTGGCTGGTGAAAAACACTGCTGACTTTCCATTTTACTTTAGAATTAATTTATCCTGTGGATGCTACCTTTGTATAGAATATATACAGATGGAAAAGACTCCGCAGGAATGAGAAATTCTATTTTTTGAAGCAATCCTTCGGGTTAAATATAGTTGTATTGGGAACTCTGGTGTGCCTCAAACATCTTCTTCTAGCAGGAATACCCCAAACTTGCAGCTGTACAGTCATTAAGAGGGCAAACATCTAACTCAAGTTTTCTGCTTTGCCACATTACTTAACACAGTACATTTAAGATTAATAAGCACCTCCAAAAAACACACACAAAAAAAATTTGCATGGGCAGAAAACAGGTACACTGTCCTTTGTTGGTGGCTTGAAATCATGCTCACCTGTAACCACTCATTAACATCACCATCAGCTCTTTGTGCTCCATGGAATAACCAAGGAAATAAGAAAAACACTGTAATGTATATTTGACCCCTTTGTAAAAAAAGCATATTTAAGTAGCTCTGTGCCTAAGGAAAACATTTTCCTGTTTCTACATGTTTGTCTTTTCTTCCCTGCACCTGACTAGGTGTGTATTACTCCACATTTCAAACTCTCACTCCTATTAAAAAGGAAAAGTTGTGATGCAAAACTGTAGCTCAGCTCCAGGCTGTTACTTCAGACCTGTAAGCTGTTCTTACAGACAAATATGTTCAGGAATGACAGCAATTTCCTCCTGCCCAGTTCTGCCCCTTTGTATTTTGAAGTGTGTTCTGACTAACAGTGTTTTCGGGCTTCATTTTGAATGTATTTGTCTATTCTAGGTATCTGGCCATTGTTCATCCCCTAAAACCACGCATGAATTACCAAACAGCAACCTGCCTCATCGCCTCGGTCTGGATTGTTTCCATACTTGTAGCTATCCCATCTGCATACTTTGCTACTGAAACGGTATTATTTATAGTGAAAAACCAGGAGAAAATTTTCTGTGGCCAAATTTGGCCTGTTGACCAGCAAATATACTACAAATCGTACTTCCTCTTCATCTTTGGCATTGAATTCGTGGCACCTGTGATCACAATGACTTTGTGTTATGCTAGGATCTCTCAGGAGCTTTGGTTTAAAGCCGTCCCAGGATTCCAGACAGAACAGATCCGAAAGAGGCTTCGATGCAGAAGGAAAACTGTTATGGTCCTGATGTGCATCCTGACTGCCTATGTTCTCTGCTGGGCACCTTTCTATGGCTTCGCAATTGTCCGGGACTTCTTCCCCACCATCATCGTGAAAGAGAAGCATTATCTCACTGCCTTTTACATAGTTGAGTGCATTGCCATGAGTAACAGCATGATAAACACCATGTGTTTTGTAACTGTGAAAAACAACACCATGAAGTACTTCAAGAAGATCATGTTGCTCAGATGGAGATCAACGTATAATGGAAGCAAATCCAGCACAGATTTGGACCTGAGAACAAGTGCAATGCCAGTCACAGAGGAGGTAGACTGCATAAAACTGAAATAAATTTTCTGCAGTTTGAATCTCATCTGTTTTGGAGAGGGGGTTAAAGAGGAAATAATGTCTCCTCGGAAGCTTCTCCCTTGTCTGTGGGAATACCCACTATTGGTGAGATCCCTCAAAAAGCAGCCTGCATTCCCACCAGAACTCTTCTCAGTGGACTTCTAGATAATACCCCTAACTCTGTGTCTTACAACATCCCTAAGACTGATGATGTGCTTCAGGTCACCCATCTGTAAATTTGAGATGTAGACACTCATTTTGGAGTTAGGAAGAACAATAAAGTCTATGAACGCATAGACCATATTACAACAGCAGAAGAGTTAGGGCTGATCCCAGCAGTGACGCCTCTCTTTCTTAAGAGAAACCTCTTAAAGCCTTTGATCTTATCCCTTGTCCCTTTAAGCTATTTGGTGTCCTTTTCCTTCTGCTCAGGAGAGGAAGGATGGCAAAAAAGCCCATTTGTCACTCTTTAACCTCTAAATTTACTCCTCATCACGAAGCTCCTTGAAATCTACAGACCACCAGCTTCCTATTGTCCAATGTGCAGCATGCTCTTATGAAAGGCACATGCTCTACAAAGCTGAAATCTGCTTCACAGTCTAGTGAAAAACCTCAAGCCTCTTCCTGTGACACCTTGTTTAAGAATGTCTTATCACCATTCCACTCTGTAGTTTTATGAAGAGTGCTACTCTGTCATGCATTTGGAAATGGCACAGATACATATGGAGGGACCTGTTCCGTTCCCTCACTTCCGGGCACCCTATGACCAGCTTTTGCTGCACTGAGATGCTGAGGTCATCACAGAATCCATCACAAAATTGCACAGGTGGGGAATAACATCTCCACATCGTCTAGCCCACCCCTCTGCTCAAGCAGGTTCAGCTAGAACAGGTTGCCCAGGATTGTGTCCAGTTGGGCTTTGCCTGACTCCAGGGAAGGGGCCTCCACAGCCTCCCTGGACCACCAGTGTCAGTGTTCAACAGCCCCCACAGTGAAGAAGTGCTTTCTTATGTTCAGATGGAATTTCATGTATTTCAGCTTGTCTGTCACTGGGACCTATAGAAAACATGTTAGTGAGGAAAATCCAGATAGCTGAACCAGGCCCAGACATCTTAGCAAGTCTGTGTGCACCTCCACCATGAAGTACAAGGGGGGGCCAAAACACCAAGGAGATCCCAAGATGATCTGTCCTCCTGGGAGCAAGAGAAGCTTCAGCAAGTCAGTCTCTGGTTGAGTTGAATAGCTTATTGTCAGGTCAAATGTGAGGCACCAGCTCCAGATGAATTCTGCATTGCCTCCCCCAGTGCTCCTTTTACTGTTCTGATTTTGTGTGAACCCAGTTCGGGTGTTTTTAACTGATAATCGTGACAAAGCAGGCGACAGTAGCAGTAATACCTACACATTTCAACTGCACACAAGATATCGTGGACTTTTGTGTATTGAAATCAAATCTTTTCTATTGTGATGACAAATGCTTCCTGTTTTAAAGTATGTGGCTGCACCTACTTTTGGAGTAAACAGCTTTTGTAAACAACTCTTGTCTATTCGTGAATTTAAGTGAGCAGCAAATCCTGCCAATAAAACAGTAAATATGGCCTTAATATCATAATTCTGAATTATTTTTTATCTTTTTCCCTAAGCTGTCACTATACTATCCAACTGACTAATGTGAACAATCCCATTTCCGTTAAAGAAAAATTGACCAATTATATTTAAGGGCAAAAGGATATTCAAATCCATTAAAGTGCTCAAATCCTCTCATCATTAGCTGCTCTTAAATATACATTGGAGAGGATGTCATCATTTGCTGTTAGGCAAAACAATTACTGAAATCATCCTTCAAAATGACAGTTTTAAACAGTACTAAATCCATTTATTTCCCAACTTGACAAAGAAACTTAAGGGACCAGAGAGCTGCCATATTTCACCATCAAAATGCTTTTAACCTCTCCCAAAATCTCATGGTTCCTTCTGAAACTATGATCCCATATGTATCTCCTAAACCCTGCACTAGTTGTTGGGGATTAGCCAGGAATACTATTAGAGTGTCCTGATACTCCTTCCACCTGTTTTTTCCTACACACTTTTCGTGCAAAAATCAAATAACTGACTATTTTCCACATTTGGAAATCCATCTCAGGCTGAGTTATTAAAGAAACCTCTACCCCCACCAAGCAGTATAGTACTAAGCAAAAACTGGGGGAAACAATAGCTTTAAAATTCTGGAAATCACTTTGAGAGCTCCAAGAGAGCTCTTCTGGTCCAGCCTGCCCACTGTTCTCATCCCTGTCCCTGCCAACGGCTTAGGTTTTGGGGTCTGCAACATTGCCATGTTTTTGAGATTTTGAGGTCTTCCCAGCAGCAAAGCAGTGTTTCAGCCTGAACCTCTGGATAGGGCAGGAGAATAAGCTTTGCTTTGCCCTCTACTGCATTTGTTGCAAGCAGCAACCCCAGAGAGAGGGGGGGTTCCCAATGAGGAAAGGCGGTGGTCCCCTGTTCCCTCATCAGAGCACTAAGCACTCATGTCGTCCTTAGCCTCTGACTGCACCAATTCCAAACAGCTCAAAACAGGTCCTACTTTCAGAGACATTTGCTCCTAAACTGAGCTCCAACAAGCAGGGGCTCAGAGCCTTGCATGCAGACTGAAAGTCACTTAAAACTCCTGTGGAAATTCCATAAATGTGCAGGCAGCAGGGACAGGCAATGACCTGAGCAGCTCCCTCAGGCAGGGGGGAGCAGGTAGGCCATGGTCCAAGGGAGGGGGCCAGACCCCACACTCCTTGAGCTTAGATGAGCCATGCAGGGAAAAAAAGAACAGAAGGGCTTTTTTTTACCCTTAGAACTCAGGCTAAGGGAAGGTGGGTGCCAACACCACAGCTCCCTGTCAGGTAGGGGACACCCTGCTGCCTCCTGCCTGACCCCTCTCTGCAGGAGCACTTTCTCACCTACACTGAAGGATATTTAGAGAAGGAACTGAATACGGACTGCACCTACATGGAGCTCTGCTTGCAAGAGCCATGTTTAAATAGAGAATGACAAGCACAAGCTGGGAGGAAGGCAGCACCTGTTCCAGAGGAGAAGGAGGCCTTTCCAGCAGAACTCCTGCCTCCTAGAAGGCAGGAAAAACTGCAGTGAGACCTCTGTGGCTGCCAGTTGCCCATTATTAGCTCCAGGGACACAGATGCAATAAGGGCTTCATCATGCAGGAAGTGTGGGATGTATCATGCATGAGGTGCAGGTGAGGGTGAGGCATCCTCCTGAGAGTCCTTAATAGGATTTAGATACCCATGTAGTGAATCAACCAGATACCACCACGTCTTGGTTGTAGCTAGCTGCAATTTTTATTGCCAAAAGCAAAACTGTGGTGCTACCACATCAGATTCCTTGCTCAGCTGTCCTCCTGTGGCACAGCTCTAAAACCATAGGCTCACTTCCTACTGCAGCACCTTCCCCAGGGATAACTGAGGGTAAAATCCAGCCTCTGCTCCTTCACAATGAAAAACAAAAACCCATGTGTAACTGCAAGCTCAAATGGGGACCCAAAAAAACTAAGAGAAGAAAAAGCACTTATTCTCAGAAACAAGCACTAAGAAAACAAAGGCTGTATGTTATTAAAGCAATTGTCCCTTTACCACAGGGGGATGACCTCCAGACCTCTAGGGTAGGTCAAAATAGCCAGCACGGTAAATTTTCCTGACAACTGACTGACTCAGTCAGAAGCCCAGACTTGGTTGTGCTCCTTCTTGGAGCCTGTCAGCCTTTCCTGTGACAACAGCACCCTCCAGCTGCTGCCTCTGCAGCACAGCGTCACTGAAAACTGCATCAGCTTACACCAAACGCCTTGGGAACACGGCCATGCAGATATTCCCAGGATTCCAACAAGTGGCAACACATGTTTCAGCTTTTGTCATTAGGGCACCCAGGCACTTACCCAGTGCTTGTGGTGTCTGCATTCTCCCTCGCCCCCTGTGTCAGCAGGGCTGTGACTCGTGCTTGGGGTGCTCCCCTCCAAACACTCAATGCCTTATGTGCAGAAAAACAAACACCATTGAGCAGAAAAAAGCAGAATTGAAGCAAGAGAACACTACTCCCTCAGACTTACAGATCTCTCACCCTCTGTTAGGATTCTGTTCCAGATTGCACCCTTACATATGTTGCCAGGAAAAGCCTCAAATCACAAAATCACAGAATCAATTAGGCTGGAAAAGACCTCTAAGATCACAGAGTCCGACTTTTGACCAAACACCACAATATCAACTAGACCATAGCACTAAGTGCTACATCCAGTTGTTTCTTAAACACCTCCAGAGACAGTGACTCCACCACATCCCTGGGCAGTTCATCCCAACGTTTAATCAACCTTTTTGAGAAGAAATTCTTCCTTATGTCCAACCTATACCTCCCCTGGCACAGCTTGAGAACTATGTCCCCTTGTCCTGTCACTTGTTGTCTCGGCGGAGAGGATGAACCCCACCCAGCTACAACCTCCTTTCAGGTAGTTGTAGAGAGTGGTAAGATCATCCCTGAGCCTCCTCTTCTCCAGGCTAAACAACCCCAGCTCCCTTAGCTGCACCTCAAAATCACTGATGAGGCGGGGATCCCTACAGCTTCTAAAGTGACCTTCGTAATACCATGCAGAACAAAAGAACACAGGACAAACCCTGATGTAAAACCACCAATAATCATGGATAGTAAGAAACATCACTGAGCACATAGTTGCTCAAGGCACAAAGTCACCTTCCTCAAAACCAAGACTTGGTAAGTGACAGAAGACACATTAAGATGGCAATATTCCCTGGAAAAAGGCATCCCCAAGCTAAAAAGGATCATCAAAACCCCATTTAAACTTCTCTACCTGCTCATCTGCTGGTTCCAGAAGAAAAAATGTGGAAGTTAACACATGGAAAGCATCACAGGAAGCAGGAAAGCACAGCAATAAAATCTGGGCATGCAGCACTCCAAAAAAGCCAGGGGTGAAGCACTGTTCCAGAATAGCTCTGTAAAGTGCTCCAACATACACCAGTCACTGTAGAAGTCAAGAGAAAAGTCATACGGTGAAACACCTCAAAAAAAGGTCGGAGCCTCTGAAAAGCCAAAGAAATAAAACAAACAGGTCTGAAGGACTCCAGGGCCACGTGGTGATGCACTCCAAAAAATACCAGGTGAGGAAGAAAACAATAGAATCAGTGGGCAATGTGCTAAAGAAAGACAGTGAAGGACTTCTCTGTGAGGCTGTGATGAACGACTCCAATAAAAGTTGGGCAGTAAGGTGAAGGAAACCAACGTAATACAACATGAGATTCCAAAAAGAGCTGGGCCTTGTGGCAAAGGGCTCCTGCAGAGGCAGCACAGCACAGCGTAAAACTCCTCAGGGGTGGCACAGTGAAAGACTTTTGTGGGGCAGCTTCTCAGGGTGGACAAGGTGAAGGGCTCCAGAGGGTCCATGAGGTAAGGAGCTGGCTCCTGAGGTGGTCAGGAGCAACAACATGGTGGTCCAGCAGGTCTGGCCCATGGCTTCCAGACTGGCTCACCTGTCTCCTGGCCCTGAGGGCAACAGCTTTCCCACCCAACACAGCCCCAACATGGTGGGAGCAGGAGTGCTCAGGGCTGTAGGGAGGGGTTGAGGCCACACACAGCTCGGTGCAGAAATGGCAAGGCCCAGGCACCACTGGATTTGGTTTCCCTTAGCAGTTTTTTCCTCAAGAGGAGCCTCAGCACAACAAGAGGGGCGCGTGAGCCTGAGTCAAAAAACCCAGCATCGGTATTGTAGAGCACACCACATCCACAGAGTCCTCCTGAAAAGTCCATAAAAACAGCTGGAGTGTATTTGGATGCCTATTTGCAGCCACACAAGAATGATTCCCCTGCTGAACTTTAGGACTGTGTCCAAAAAAGTGCCAAATTCATATGGCTCCAGTCAGCTGCCCCAAAACATACTAAAACTTTTTAACTTACTTTCTAGGAGGTTCAGGGAAGTGGTGAACACACTGAAGGCAAGATATTCCAACAATGTCTTTAGAAGTCACAGACACACAGTTACACATCTTTCCCACTGTATGTTACAAGTTTATTTGTGCAAAAATACAGTCAGTCATCAAGACTTCAGCTTTGCTGAGAACTGAACACAATTGCAGTGATATACAGGCATGGAGAGAAGTACTGTTGTAAATGGAGCAAATACACCATAACTGTTGTTGAGCCAACCAAGTGGTTCAATACGCTTGAGATACTGTTCTCAAGTGACTTAGACAATTTGTATTTAATTACTGTACCTCAAGACAATCAACAAAATGATACCTAAAAGGAAAACTGCAAGCAGAATAATGAAGTTTACAACTGCACTAACTCAAAGGAACATTAAAAAATGGTTTAGGCTTTCCTAATGCCAGTATTTCTTTCAAGCACAGGGAGATGAAGTTTTAACAACCTTTAAAATTGTATTTCAAAATAAGAGACACCAACGGCATTGTAAAACAAATAGATGAGGAAAAGAAAGAAAAAACAACCAAAATTTTCAGAGCTCCATCCTAGTGGGTCCACCACTTAACAAAAAAAGCACCACACCATCCCCAAAATAATCCATATGGACAAAAAGGCATCGCTGAATCCCCCGGCCCCACTAAAATCTTCCTGTAAATCCTACATCACTGAGAAAAAGTTTTCAAACAATTCCTCTCCTCTGTCCAACAACATCTTAACAGAACCACATTGGACACTCATAGCATCGTTCCAAGCAGCTATTTTTTGGTCTTAAGAAATCTACCTGCTTCTTGCACAAGTGTTTCAACATCCTCATTGTCCTTTTCTTCTGAACTTGGTTCCCAGTCTGAGTCCTTATCAGTAGGTTCGCACTCCTCTTCCTCATCATCTATAAAGCTGTCATTGAGGTCATACTCATTGGCTTCATCATCATTGGCACTGTCTTTCTCCCCAGTCCTTTTTCCTGTAGGGACAAAAATGTCATGTATTCCTGAATCATATGTGCAGAACCCAAGAGCCCTCCCAGAGCCCACCAAGTTAAGTCTCTCTCCTCAAGAGGAGAAGGAATCACCTAAACACATCTATCTTCTGATTTACTTCCATGGTTACTTTGATCCTAGATCAAAGACGACTTCTTCATCCATCCATATATACTTAGGGTTATTTTATACTTTCAGTCTTTGGAATCTGACATGGCTTTTAATTCCTACTCACTTCTTTCCTGAGCTTCAGGTGAGAGAAGGGAGTCTTCTATATCACTTGCCTCGTACGTTCTCCATTTGGATCCATGCTGGATAGTCTGTGCTTCCTTTCTGAACATGGGTTAGGGAAATAACAAGTGCTGAACACTTTCCTCAGCTGGGGGCAGCCTACCTGTGTCCCAGTTCAGTCTGTTATATCGCACTGCTTTCCAATCCGCTTCTCATCCACCTACTTCACAACTTACATTTTGCCATCAAATTGCCTTCTGCCTTCACAGCATTTCACAATAGTCTTTATTGGCAGGAATCATACTTGGAAGCCTCTCCTTAGAAGAAATGGATACCATTCACAGCATGCTCCAAAACTTTCTTACAGTTTGTCTTGCAGCAGTCTTTGCATTGCTTGAACATGTTGGCACATTTAAATTGATTCCCAGAGGCAGGATAATTCTGCTGTTTGAGGAAGCCTTATCTATCTGACTTGGTAGGTATCGATAGGTAGGTATCTATACATAGCTGCTGCCATGGCAGCATTGACTTCTTTTATTTATCAGTAGTGAGCACCTTCAACAAGGTAATTTTCACTGCATTTTGGCAGATATGTGTAACCTTTTCTCTGCAAGCCTATGACATCTCCCTTTTTCTTACATGTCCACAATTCCCAACTAGCCATGGCCTGTTAATATTCCAATCATATCTTATTCTGCCATTAAGCCACACCTCTGAGTTTAAGCTTCCAATTTCGGCATTCTTATCTAGAGATAACCTCTCAATGATATAGGGACAGATAACTTATCTGTTGAGCAGCTATCATCAGCTTTCAAATGAAACTATAAACATGTATTTTTTTCCCAGCTACAGACCCCAGTTCAAGTCCTCACATTTATATTAGCCATAAGCATTTTCCAGCAAACTCTTAAAGCTTTAGGTCAGAGTTCCAGGCACTCAAGCTGTGTGTGGTGAACAACCACCACCACTGTTACCTTGTGTAGTCAGACCACAGACTCTATCAATTACACTTTTTTATCACTGGGAATGCTACTGTTCCAGAATTACCTTCCTTTTTATGCTTGCTAGTTTATTGTTTAACAGACTTCAGTGGAAATTAATCATGGCCATGTCAGCCCATACCAGCAGAATTTCTTGTACAATTCATCACAGACTATGGTTCTGCAGAATGAGTTATGGCTTGAAGGGGAGGAACCAAAACAAAAATGTGGAATGCCATAAGAAGAAAATCCCACTACTCAGACTAAGCTTATGAGAATAATAAGCCCAAGAGCTGCTTAGCAAAGAAAAGCTCTTCTTCACTTTCACACCACTATGGGGACATTTTACAAGAGAAGCAGGAATTCTGGCACAATACTTATGACTTCTGTATTTTTCCTACAAATGCAGGACTAGCATACTATGTTCTCCCTCCCTGTACACCCATGCTTTTAGATTTCAGCAGGGAATGATGCACTTCCTTCCATGTCTTCCCCATCCATCTCTTTCCACTGTAGTTTAATTCAGCACCACAGCCCCAACACTGCTCATTTCTGCCTCTTCCCCAGTGCTGTATTTATAAAGATGACCTTTAAACTTTCTCTGAAAGTATCTCCTTCATGTGGGGAGAAAAAGCTTGCTGACCACTCCTCCCAAAGAGTTCTATTTGGAAGTGAGCTGATCAGCTTGCTAGAAAACCTACAAAGAAGTGCGTAGGAGAATCCTGCATATTCTATGGTCACAGCAGGTCATTCATCTCAGTAGCAACACAACAGTGAGGTCATTCAGTTGTGACAATTTAATGACAGCATAACTCTTGACTTTTTTTTTCTTCCTCCCTCACAACTACTCCCCCAGTAATTTGTCTCAGACTATTTCTCGGAACATTCTCTGCAGGCAATTTGTAAACCCTCTGGTAGCAATTAGACTAAAAATGTTAAACATGTCAAATGTCACGTAGAACCTCTTCTCTTAGCTGGTGGAGTTTAAATACACATGTAGGGAAACTAATCCTGCTATGCTTAACGGTGCAGTTGTGCCAAAATAAAGGTTAATGAAGCCCTGACTGTTTGTGTGACCCTGCTTGGTACAACTGCCTCAGGTGTGAACCTGCTGAGCATTACCTTTCACAAGCTCTGCCCTCAAGAGAGCTAAGTAAGCCAGTCAACAAGATATTTAAAAATTTTTAAAAATCCGGTAAATATGAAGAACACTTTAATGAATTAATTCCCTTCTTTCCTCCGTGCATGGAATATCAATTCTTCCCCAGTTCTTACTTAGTAACAAGAGTTGAATTTGATAGATTTAGACTTTTAGATATGCACACAGCCCAGCCCAGTTTCATTCCAAAATCTTCACCACTCACTGCTCTTACACTGCTGCCAACAGCCTCTGACCACTCTGTAACACATTTTTACAAGGGACTTCTAATCAAGATGGGGCTGGTACTTGCATCACAGGATGCACCAAAGCACACAGGTAACAAATATGCCTGAGAGTATTGTGGTGCACGGATACAGCCATAGCAAGCATTTGGTGAGAGCCAAAGAGCACACATGTTTGATAAGGAATTGGTATGGGAAAGAAATTTCTCAGCAGGAAGTTTAAAACAACCTCCTGCACCCACCCACAACAGAAATGAAGGCCAAATCACTTTGCCTAGAAAACTAACTACAACTATTTGCACTTTATTTATTTTCTTTAGAAGGAAGACGTCATTTGAGGAATTCTTTAGGAAATGCCCAGCCACACCTTGGTGATCTCAAGGAAGACAAGCCAGTTCCCACTCCTGCTCAACATGCAGCAGTTCCACACCTTCCTGTCTTGCTCAGGCCAGTGAAAGCAAAGACTGCATAGCATCACAATTTCACTGCTCTTTAAAGCTCACTTTTAAATTATTTTAGAAAGAATAAGAAGCTTCACATTTAGAAGCTGAGACACAAAAGAATCCTGGAAGCAGCCCTTAAGCGTATTTAAAACCATGCATCCACAACATATAAACTTCTTTCACTTTAGTCCTAACAAGCCAGTATTTACCCTGAAATATCAATACCTAACTGTAAGTTTAAGAAAAGTTCATGTTCACATGTACAGATTATCACTCGAAAGTTATTTCAAGGTCAATGGAATGCACAAGGAATATCTACATGTTTCAGGAGCAATCAATCTTTATGGGGCAACCTTAACTAGCTTTGTATGAAATATTGGATTCCTTTCATCCTAATGTGGCCCCTGTGTAAGGAAGGAAGAATTGATTTAGCCACATGTGTCTTTTGTTTGAAAAAAAAAACCTCGTTTGTTTTCTCGCCTGCTTCCAGGGAAGTACAGACATGATTATCCAGAAAGCCTGGCACAAATTCAATTGAAGCAGTATTACTTGTAAGAAAACAAGAAGGATTTTACTAAAATAACAATTACATTCTCCTCAGGTAAGTATTAGCAAGCATCTATAGTACTATTAAATGCCAAAAAACCCACAGCAGACCTGCTGTGCCCCATGCTGATATGCCCATTCATAACTTTACAACACCATTTTTTGAAGTTTGTTGTTGGGTTCCTCTTTCAGTTCCTAAAGAAAGGGAAGTTTTTAGTCAGGACAGAGTGAACCCTGACATAAGGGTTATGCCATTAAACAAATCCTGCCATGCTTGTGCTGCACTTACAAGTATAAAAGCCACGCTGCTGCCCAAAACCACCTTTTTTGCCTTGAATCATTCCCAAGAGATTATCCAGACGAACTGTTCTCAGTGTTATGACCCCTGCCATCTGTAGACAAATGTCACCAACAAAGGTTGGGGGTTTTTAAGAAGAAAACTGGAGTATTTAAAAGCATTTATATATTTTACGCTATTGTTTCCATAACTGCAGTTCTTTCCTTAGTAATGTCACAATCCTGAGTCTTTACAGTAAAATACATTATCATTACAATTCCATTAATGTTCTGCTCTAAACTACTGTTTATTGCATTGGGATTTCCCGAGGAAAAAAACCCTAGATTTGATAATCTAGAAAAAGCACAAAAAAATGGAAGTAAATTGTGAAGTATCTCTTTCAATTCTTGAAGAACAGAAAAAATGTAAACAGCACATTCCCCTCTGTTTTTCAACAAGTCGAGTTGCTGGAATATAAAAAGACTACAAAGTGTTAGAATAGGAACTCAAATTCAGTTTTAGGCCTCAAGAGAAGAGGGGGACTCAGAGGTGATTGGGTGCCAGGGCAGTGTTCCCTGAAGAGCCAATCACCACTCATGTTGTTCGCTTCTGCTCAAAATCATATATACACCGCCCACTGGAAGCTGTTGGCAAGAGTTCTGTTGTTGGTGTCTGCTGCGTGTAGGTGTGGAAGGCCGGGGGGTGGCTGGGCTCCCTCTCTCTCCCCTCTGGGGGGGAGAGGGGAGCCCTGCGGCCCCCCCAGCTCTGCCTAGCCCAGAGCAGAGTTAGAGGCAGCATTCTGAGTGTGTGCAGTGAGGGAAGAGACTCACGTGAGCACCTGAACCTGACTTGAGGTGAGAGGCAGGCTTTTGTAGCCAAGCCTTCTCCCTCCCTCCTTTTCTACAGCTAAGCTGTGGAGGGGGGCTTTTCCTTTCCCTCTGCTGGAAAGTGGAGGAGAGGCTCAGCATTGAAGCTGAGCCAAGTGGAGGGGCCGTGGAGGTAGGCCCGGCGCTCGGGAGAAAGAGTCCCAAGCGAAATTGGAGACGGACCCCCCCCCACAGAGAGAGAGGGGGGGGGGCCCGGAGGATGTCTCTGCCACGCAGGACAACTGAAAACCTGAGGAGAAATCCACATGCCAGGACGTGGACACTTGATAAGCAGAACCACACTGCAGCAGCCTACGAACCAAGGTATGAGAGAGAGAGATCACACAGCAGCAGGAGAGCAAGGACTCAGAGCTATCTTCTCGGACTTCATGAGGAGGAGAGACTACAACAAAACAACTGGAACTTGGTGAGGGAGGAGCGTTCAGGCCCAGAACACTCCCACAGAGGGACTGGTTACTTTCTGGCCTTGAAAAGGCTCTTTCCTGGACTAAACTTAAAGGAGGGGCTTGAAAGGATTGGTTGATAGAAATGTAATATATATAGTTGTCTTTAGTTTGTATAGTATTTATTTGTGTAAATAAATGTATATATACTTCCCCCTTCCCCTACAGAAGCCTCTGGCCTGAAAGTTTCTCTTCGGTGTTGGCACAAATTGTGGGAGGGGGTGGAAAAGCCTGAAAATTGGATTTTAGATTTCTAACGTGGCTCAAACTGCCACAAGAACATACATGCAAAAATAAGTTCTCACAGTAAGAAAACCACTGGTCCCCCCCAAAAAAGAAAATACAGAAAGACGATGGATATGGTTGCAATGTTTGGTTTAGAGCATCAAAAACCTTTAAAATTGTAACTTACCGAAAGAAAAAAAAAAACAGAAAAAAAATAATCCAAATACAGAGTAAGATGTAAATTTTATTCTAAAAGTAGATTAAAGCATTTTATTACAAGTTTTGGGTATCCATCACTGGGTTTGGGGTTTTTTTCCTCACACTTTGAGCAGTATTGAACAAGTTGGCTTACCTGGAGGCGCAGTGTGCTTGTATTCCAGCTTGTGCTGTGGGTTCTTCCTGCAAAGAAGAAAATAGTAAAAGCTTGATTCATCACCTTGTTCCACACTTAACAAGTCCAGAATTCCCTGGTATTTTATGGATAATTTTCAAGGCATAGCATTTAGATCAGTTGATTATGCTCCTTTCAAGTAGTGGCCAACACAGGAGGACAACAAAAAGAACACGAAAAACCTTCAAATTATATCTGTTGCTTTATCAAAAGAATTATCACTGTTTCACGGATGCCTCTTTTCCTCTACACCCGAAGAATGAAGCAAATATTAAGAAATTACCAACTCATACAACACAGAGGTTGTCTTATCTGGACGGAGAGACAGTTTGGGGTTTAGATAAAGCATCCATTGTACTCCTGAAAAGCACATTGGCAATTTCATTACTGATATAAACCTACATTGCTCAGCCTGAGACGAAAAGTTCGTCTCATAGAAGTTTATAAGAGAAACACTTTTTCTGCATTAGCTGAATAGAATCATGGCTTTTTCTTAAAAGCTGCCCTCATTTTGTTACATTTTATGGAGAACATGCTCTTTAGGATCACCGCACTTTCCAAGAGAAAAGGTTTCTCTGCAGAAAGAATCTTTATTAACAGCAGCCCTTAGTTTCAACATGGCCCCACAGAAGTCTTATTGCCTCAAAATATATCTTTTTATCCATTGTGGGAATTCCACAGCAGTGAAACTCTACTAAGCAAAAGCGTAAAACCTAGATACTGAAAAACAAATAGAACAAAACAATATTTTGAGGAAAATCAACAGTGCTTAAAAGAAAATAGCAGTCAGCCATAAACTGGTTTTATTTATTTACCTCAACTATGCTTTCTAACAACTCAAATACTGATTAAAATAGTTTTTATACAAAATATCAACAAACACTTTATCAAAACTTAAACTAAAAGTTACATATCAGGAACACCAGGTAACAATAAATTATATATAAACAATACATTTATATAAAAGAACAGTTTACTGAATGCTGAAAAGAGAAGAAGTGTTGACCTTCAAGTCACTGAATAGGTTCCAAGACTCAAGTTTTCATTTGCCAGTTGAAATTACAAACAAAGCAGTGATTTTTAATGTGTCACTGTGCAAAATATGCACAGACTCAGGTGTTTTAAAGGTAGCAGTCTGACCATGGCACATTTCAGAAGGCTACAGTCAAGATTTAACACCAAGAATTATTCTCATTATTCTACCGTCATTTTGCAACTGCAGGGGAGAACATTCTTAGCCTGTAAACAAGAAGAGCCACCTTGTACAGTGTTTCTAACCTATAACAAGCTGTTCCATACAGACACTCGGGTCGGTTGTCGTTGTTATCCTGAGATATCATCTCCATGTCATGATAGTCGTCATCATTAGAGTGACTGAACTGCTGGAAGTGAATGGGATTCTTCCTGCAAAAGACAAATATACACCAAAACCTGACTGTTCTGTTTCAACACAAGAAGCAAAGACAAGAAAGGTATTACTAAATCAGCGACAGCTCATTTTTTAGTGGTTACGAAAAGAGGAGCTTTTAATGTTTAACCTGATGCAGAACATAAGACCTACTTTCAGGATAACAAAAGAAAAGTTTTGTCTCAGCTGCAACAGAGGTCAAAATAAGAATTTTCCTATTTGCCATCAGCTTTAAGTTTCAAACCTCCAACACATACACAATAGGTTTTATTAGAACAACAACTGACATGAAGTTGTACCATAAGATGTAACAACCGCACGTGTAGTTGAGTCACATCAATGTTAGTGATGAGAGCACATGACCAGGACCCACAATTTCCTGCTCTACAGCACTTGAATCCCAGGTGAACAAGTAGGGAACACAAATATATGCATCACTGAAAGAACATTCCTGCTGCTTCTATGCAACAAATTTCCACACATCATACAAGACAAGGCAGCCATAAACAGCATCACTTATAGAAGAGTGTCTCTCACAGAACTGCTGTAAGTGATGTTAAAAAGAACACAGAAAAACATGTTATAACTTCAGGAGAAATTCATGTGACAGATCAAAACACACTACAAAAAAATACATCAAAATGAACATATTGGTACCAAAAGCAAATCTACCTTTTCCCCATGATTTCTTTTAGATTTCTTTTTTTTCCAAGCATAATATTTAAAAGCAAGAAATGTGAGACATTTTAATAATTTTTTTTTCCAAAAGACATCCACAACACACTTCAGTGATTACCAAAATTATTCCCGGAGCACATAACCTGTAGTTTGTTTGTGCACTTCTCAAAGATCCAGTATTCCTTGGATCTACTTCCACAGCTGAAAGGCTTCTTGTCTTAGTCTTTTCTGTTACTTCTGCAAACTGTAAGGTAAATAAAATAATGCTTCCCTAGAAACCACTGCTAGGTTGCATTTACCGGTCTTTTATTCCACGAGTTCTCATGAAACATTAATTCTTATGCCAAATTCAGACTGGCTGCCTAATTCTTTTCCCATTTAAAAATAAATGGGATGAAACCAACTCATTTTAGAGCCCATTTTCTTTGTTTTCTCGATGAACTGCGCTAACAAACTAGCAATAATAGCAAGAATTCTCAGTCATTTGAAACACAATTCATCTTCTCCAAAGGATACAGCAGCAACTAATGTTCTTTGAAATAATTTTAATCTGTATTCCTACAACAAGATACATGTAGCATCGCAGTCTCCAAGGAAAGAAGGCCTTTTAGCTGTCAATTAGCCAATTTATTGTATTTTAGGAGATAATCTTTTCCTTTCAAAAATTTGCTTCAACACCTACACTAAACAGCCCTTACTGGAGGAGAGAAAAAAAAAAGAAGGGAAGAGCAACAAAAGGGTCATGATGCACAAGACCTCATTATCAGGCTTCAGGAGACTTGGGGTCAGTGGATGGTGCTCCTCAAATCATACATTTTCTGTGAAGCACCTTGAACATGTCCCACTGCAGAGGCTCAGGTCTAGTAGAAACATCATATTTTATCTTACTTTTACCTGGATAATTTGTACTTTTTCTACTTCTCTGTGTAGTGCAACAATACTCAGCAAAATAAATGGAAGCACAAAAGTGCATAAGTAATATTAAGCAAATATTTCCCCTTCTTGCAAAAAAACCCCTAAGGCTTCTTTCTTAAAAGTTTTGTTTGAGGTTTTTTTATCATTTATTTTTAGACATAAGATATTTGAGTTACAAGAGCACATTATCACACTGTAAGCTGCACTCCAAAGTTAGGTTTCATAACAAAGCCTCACTGCACAGGGATTTGTATTCGTTTGATCAAATCAAGACCATTAGGCCTTACTTACACAAAAAGCAACCAAATAAAAACCTATTTTAAGAATAAAGTTTCATGACTGCTGCCTTCATATAAACATACTGGCACAGTAACTGCAGCTTTGATTTCACAGAAGCTCTAAATTTGTATCCTCACACTTCATGATGCAGGAAACTACGCAAACAAAAACTATGCAAATAAAATTTTAAAAGTTCTTCACCGTCAACGCAGTCAACTCAAGCAGAAGTTGGGAAGTATTGCTCAGTGAAATATTTAATACAGCTATTCATCTATGTAGCCACCAAAAGTAACAGTTAAAAGCTTTTTCTAAAGCAATTTTAACTGGCCACTTCGGAATCCCTGACTCCTCACAATCCCATGCAGAAGCCCCATGGCTATCTCAAGGGCTTATTTTCTCAGCTACTGGAAAAAACTGGTAGTGAAAATGTAATTTATTACCAGCACTACTTATAAAGCTGTAGAATTCAAGCCTGCAGTTATGCCACAACTACACATAAGATGTTTCTAAGTTCTAAATTTTAAGTCTTATTAGAAGACAGGACTCAAAAAAAAAAAAAGTCAGGTGCAGGTCTTTAGCTGCCAGACTTACAAGCTTAAGGTGAAAGGAAAAATAATTTTATAAACAATCAAATAGCCAAACATTTAGAAAAACAGACAAATCCAAAGGTTGGTTGAGCATCTCCTGCTTTGACAGGTACAGGAGAGATTTACACACCCCCATTCAGCAGAGAACTGTATCCCAGGCTACGGCAAAAGGACTGAATTTTGGACAAAATTTGTGAGTTCCAATGTGAGAAAAAAGTTCAGGTCTCCTGTACCCTTCTATGTGGCCTTTGAAAAGGGGAGTGGTGGTGGATTTACTTTTATTTTTAATTTCCTGTTCTTCCAGCTTCAGAAAAACAAGCAACAGACAAGAAAAAGAGCACACAACAGCATTCAGAGGGTGAGTTCCTTGACAACAAATATAGGCAGCTACAACACATACAGAGCACTTTGTCTCCCAGTGGTAACAGCAGTTCCTTTCAATTTGGTAAAGCCTCAGGCCACCTCAGAAAGAAAACATGACACTGGAGGAAGGTGACAAGAAGATTCCCTGGGGTGAGAGGTTCCATCAAGCTTGGTTCTTTCAAAACCAGTGATTTCAAATTCATAAATGAAGAAACTGAACTACGGGTTACAAAGTTATTTCCTAAATGTTTAAGACAGGTGTAAGAGATATCTAATCAAATTAATAGATTTAATACTTAATCTGTGCTCTAACACAGCTCTGCACCAATGCAGAAACAGCTATTTGGGGGCCTTGAATTAAAAGCAAATACAAAGACAGATTACAAAGCACATTTCTATTACTGCAAAAAGGCAGGTTCCGTCTCATGACATTTCCCGAAGATCAAAGCTGATATTTTTGATACTCCCTATTTACAAATTTCTTTGACTAAGTAGGATTAATATGTGTTATTTCAGAACATTTTTTCTTATAAAGCAATACTTTCCAAAAGTATTGTTGTCAAATGTTTTGCAGTCAAAAGAAGAAACCAAGAAGAAATGTGCACATGTAGACTCCTACTCCTTATTACCTGTACCTAAGATTTGCCTTCCTAAAGATTAGGAATATTTCAGCATATCAGAGCATTAAATTACCTTAACACCCATACAAGGGAAAACTTGTCTGAGCAAAATTAAAAGTAGTTGGAGCAAAACTGAGGCTGCATTTGTAGTACTGGGTCAACTAAATTGTCTAATAAAACATGTTTTCATCATAATCATTAAGGGAAAAAACGAGATACATGAAAACTGAAGCATGATGTGCTCACGAACACAACAGCTTTATGGTTTTGATATACACAGTTATCTCACCATTAGGCCCACCAAACATCCAATCACTTGTGCTTAGTTGTTTTCTCCTCAAACTCACTGTTTTTCTTATTGCTGAAGTCCCTTTGGGGAAGGGGAAAAAAGTCACAGGACTCCCTGTTTCCTGGATTAGCCATATCTTTTGCGTTTACAATGCACATGGGTTTATCTAGAGCTCAAAACCCTCTCCTAAATTTAGTTCTCAGGTCACCGGGCATTTTCTAGTCTCAAGAGCACCTCCAGATTTCCAGCTTCCCTTCAGTATAACAACACGGGACACCACAGATCTTTTCTGGGCAGAAATAACTAGCAGGAGGCCAAGCACCCAGTACTGGTGTTCTGGAATTTCGCTGGAACATTTGTACGACAAATCCTCCACTGTGAATTAAGAGGATATAAGTGGAAGAGAAAAAGAGGAAAAAAGGAAAAACCCCCAATTGTTACAGTATTTCCAAAGACACCGACCATATAAGGGTTAACCTGGAGTTCCTAAGTATGCCTTGTTCTGGTTTACGGGGAAATTAAAGCTTAAAAAAAAGCACCAAAAGGCAAAGTTATAATAAAAGAAATTTTTGATTATTTAGGGGTGACAAATAATAAGTATTTTAAACACTCAGATCACAAAGCAGGCAATAAATAAAAAAAAAAAAAACCTTCAATAAATACAATCATCTTTCATATAAGTCTCACCTGCTAATAAAATAAGCCTACAGGGTCTATGTTGGGCATTTCAACCTTTTACATCTCTTCTTCCTGCTGGTTCCTGGTACTGTATACACAGGTCTCTTATTTCTTTTTAAAATGGACCTTTGTCTCTTACTTCCTACAACACTTCACCTTTTAATTGCTGAGTACTTCATCCCTTGTTTGGGCTATATTAGCAGTTAGCAAGATATCTTGGCTCCTCCTTTTACCCTTCTAAAATTATTGTTCTGCCATTTGTTTCTCAGCAGTCCCCTGTTCACCAAAAGATCTTTTTTCAAATTAATACTTGTAATGACTTTACCATTTTCTCTTCCATAGCTAATATACTACTTCTAAATAGCAAGCTAGCCCAAGCTAGTTTTAATTTTGCTTTACCTGTAACAGGCACTTCCATACATGCATGGTGTCCTCTTATGCTGGATATTTTTGGAGCTTTCTGAAGCATCTGCACTTCTGGTTGAATCAGAAATCTCAGTCTCGCAATCCATATTTGCATCAGGCTCAAGAATCCCTTCCTGGGCACCACAATATTGGGAAGTCCTGCCCCAGTGAGCTTGTTGGCTTGTAGAACCAGTACTCTGCTCTTTGTTTTCTGTTTCCTCAGTTCTATTGTCTTTACTGGAGGTCTGACCTACTCTTTTAGAACATTTGCTATGCAGCTGCCTATCTTTTTTTCCAAAGAACTTCCGGTGTTTTTTGTTCCAGTCTTGCCATTTCCTTCCATATCTCTTGTGGTATTCTCAAGAAGAAATCCAGATGTATTCTGTGGAACAAGGTTACATTTTGAAGGACCTGAAAACTTACACTCCAGAATTCAAAGCTTTAAAACTCAAACTGTGCCTCGTCATTCCTGCTTTCAAAATCAGAGAACCATAGAACAGTCCAGGTTGGAAAGGATCTCGAAAGATCATCTAGTCCAGCCTTTAAAATCTTCTAATCCACTTTCCAAGGTCAAAGTTCACTGCTAAATAGAGTTGCTGAATAAAAGGCTGGAGTTAAGAAAACAACACACAACACACTTTAAAGAAAACTTATCCTAAAGCTCCCATTCTTGGCCTCAGTTCCCTCATAGAACGAGCTCCTCTCTCACCACCTCAATTTGTGAACAGTCCAAGGACTTTAATTTAAATTAACTTCCAATCAAAAGTACTCCCCTTGAAAAAATTAATGGGCATTATATAGATGAAGATATAGTAGACTCTAGAAGAATGGACACTCCTACAGTTGAATCAATTTTAATGTGCTAAGTACTAAGATATATGAAATATATATATATATTTATCTATATATGAAGATATATGGGAATTCATGATACACACCTTGAGCTTAAACCCACCCTGATAGATCTGAAATGGTTCAGATCATGACTAAATCATAAAACAGTCTGTCATAGATACCATCAGACAAAGAGTTCAGCTTTGACACATACCGCATTTTAAATTTTGGAACAAATGTACATTTAAAGTGAGAGATGTGTTGTTTAGAAAAAGAATACAAGACATATAACCAAGACAAGAACACTGTCCTGACAACTGAGACATTACCTGGAAGCATATCTACATTGAAGGCTGAACTACTGTGATACATCACAGAACTATTCCAAGGTCTCTGCTCTCTGCAGGTTATTATCCAAGTTTCCCCTCCAGTAAATTTATACTTAGTTTACACAGATGTGTTTGGCAGAGTTTGAAAAGCAGCCAGTGGTTTCCTGCTTGATTTTGTTCCTTTCAATGCAAGCCTCATAAAATTTTATCCAAAACCAGAGACAATTACTTTTGAGTAACAACATGATTAAGAAAGGGCAAAATCAGCATTAATATCAGATGATCCTGACAGCAGCACAGTTAGTAACTCAACTCAAAGGCAACCCCCAAAATAAGGCTCAGCAAACAACTGCAGCTTAAGAAATCAGCCTTCCTTTGCAAAGGGAGGCACAAATTATCCTAATTTCCCGCTCTCACTTGTGACTCTCTACCACATTCATTGCCTGTATTATACTTAACGAGACTAAACTCACTCATTAGGATCAGCTACACACCAGGCTGCGATCCAGGGAAAAAAAAGCCGCCTGCACTCCAGCACTGGGTTAACACGGACGGGCCCTCAGCGCTCTCTGGTGGCTGCTGCTGCTTACAACAATTCAGATTATTTTTGCTTTTTTCCCTACAGAACATTTTCTCAATCGCTTTAAATGCAACACCAGGACCATGATTTGGGCTTTGACATCAAAATTACTGTCTTTCAGAGCTCTCTATGACTATTAATTTCGCTTGCCCTAACCCATTAGTTCTCCTGCAAAGTCACGAAGGCAATTTCTTACACTGCGCTTGAGACTGAATGATTTATGAAATTATTAGGTGAAAATAAGTAAGGTTTCATACTTAAAAATCGCAAAATGGAATAATTCATTATGTAGTCACCTAATAATCTGACAAAGAGAAAATAGCACAGCAGCTGTTATTAATGCACCTAATGAACAGCAAAGCTCACCACTTGGAACACTTTTCCAGATTAACCACTGTTACACCAAAACTACTCTGAAGGGTTTGCTCTCCATGAGCAGTTCATTTCAATTAACTTTAAGATTTAATTAAAACAACAAAATCTTTTTCAGTGTCAAAATCATACCAAATAATACCGCCTTAAGTGTTTTATCAGATCCTGGAACAGATCCATGTAATTCTAACACCTCCCCAGGCTGTTCACTTAGAGGATACAAGTGAGAGCCTCAGTTTGCTCTCACCAGCATATGCTTTGTTTTTCTTTGGCAATGATCCTTCTCTTTTCCTCACTTGCAAGTTGCTGTCAGTAAGGATTTGGCTGCCTGTAAACTGCTGTCGCACAGACAGTGACCAGCTGGACTGCAGGGTGTGTTCACTCTGCCACAAATCGTTTGGGATTTCAGGTTACTTTTTTTTTCCCTTTCCTTTTTTTTGACTCAAAGATTTTGAGACAGTGGCATAAGCACACTCCATGCTACCCTTCCTTTGAAACACAGCAGCTGCTGAGCCACACGCCATCATTATCTGACCACAAAACTTCACCCACTAGAATGGCAATAGCTTGGGCAAAGCCCACTGTCACACCATCACCTATCCCCTCACGATTCTCAGAAAAAGAAACCAGACACACCAAGCCACTCCTAGGACCTGTGCTTTGGCCCATGTCTTCCTGCCTCTTGCTGCAAAGCTCAAAGTCTAGTATTTCTGTGGAACATTTCCGGTGTGATTCCCAGATTCCAAGGAGGAAATGCAGAAAACTAAGTCACTGAAGGTTTCCATGATCCTTGTTACAGAGCTGCCCAACAGACTAGTATTTCAAAACAACAAACCACAAGCAGAACACAAAGTTATGTTGTAGACCCAGCCTTCAACATGATATTGCCAACTACATTCTCAACTTTTTTTGCAATACCATGGTTCTTCCCTGAGCCAAAAAGTTACCTGAGATGAAGGAATAGGGATGGAAAGGCAGCTCCTTTTCCCTTAATCTTGCTCTTCACCTTCAAAATCCTCTATAGTTTCTCCAGAAGCTAATCTTTTTTTCTGTTGCACATTTACTTCTGATTTCAATGACTCTATGTCACTTTCTCCCCTTCTACGGTCTTTTTTCTTTCTGTGACCTAAAAAAAAAAAAAAAGAGGTACTTTTGGAATGCAATTTTTTCAGTGAAATCCTGACCACATTGGAAATCTACAGCTACATCAAAGCAGAACACAGGGCAAATGGCACGAGAGACAGCAGCAGTTGTGCCTGTGCTGTTTCAACAACACATTTTACACTTACTGCTTATAGGAGTAAAAAGTATGCTTGAGAACGAAACAGACAATTAAGGGGGAATTTGGAGGAAAACAATAAATACGTGGCAAAGGATATTCTGGAATGAATGTATCAGTATGAGTGACAATAACTCACACCTCAGAGGTGCAAGGATGGCTTACCAGAGACCTTTGGTATAACTGTCCCTTCAGACCACCTGTTTATACAGGCAGACATTAATTAGGGCACAGCAAAATCAGAGCGTGCCCATTTCCCTGGGCAACCACATGGCAGCTGATCATTTCATCAGCCAATAACCAACACAGAAAAAGACAGTGAAATAAAGTTCTGTCTCTCTGAAAAAGTTCACATCTCAGGAAACCTCAAGATCCCTGTACTGAAGCAGTATTTTCTGGATATACAGCTGGGAGAGACCCGGGGCCACCCTCCTGGTTTTGCTATAGCTTCAGCTGCTGCAAAACACATTCAGAAGGAAGATACTTGATGCCATTTTAAAAGACTCCAAAAACTCTCTTCCTTCAAAAAAATGTGCCAGAGTGATGTGTATGAAGCAAGGAATTTTCCCAGATTTTAATGTCTGATTTCAAACCCACAGATCAGTGCCACCTTTCTAGCTAGAAGACAGAAAGGCATAAAAGGGTAGCTTTTTCGATTTCCTCTTTACCTTTCTATATTCCCATCCAATATCACCTTAAAAAGATGCAAACCACTTCACAGTTTTAAGAAAATATTTTTGATTTGCAGAAGAGATTGGCTGTTTTATTAAAACATCCCATTGTAAGCTGGAAACACCTCATGTAATAACTTTTTTAATAGCTCCAACACAGTTTGCATGTCACCTCAGCTCCCTCAAGGTCAGGCCTTCAGATACCTCTTACCCACACAGCTCCAAATCTCAATACCACCACAATCACAGCAGCCAATCTTTGTAACAAACATTATATTCACACATATAACAAATGTTATAGTGCTTGTACAGAAAAAAACCAACCAAACAAACTCCACTCCCCAAAAAATACAAAACTAAACCACAAGCATAAGAAAACAATCATACCAGTACAGGACTCAACATAACCAGCTGAAGTCCTCTTCTACATCTGAAGGAATAAGCCAGTGGGGAACAGTCTCGATTTGGAAAGGGGAAAAAAGAAAAAAACCACCAAAACATAAATTTTCTTTTGCTTCTTATAATTTTCTCAAAACTAGCTTTTGAGGAAAGGAATAGGCAGGGTCATGGATGGCACATGACTGAGGTGTTTAAAGCCACAGTTGCCCAGGTCAATGCACACAGACACCTGTAATTACTACAGGATAGAAGAAACCATTGGTCAGACACTGCATGAAATACTCCAGTTGGGCTATTTGGGCATCAAGAACCAAATCCATCACAGCATCCCAGCAGAAACAGCAGCTGGAAAGAAAGACACTAAAGCAGAGCTGCTGCACACAGAGGAGTGGACACACACTCACCACCCACAGTTCATAGCTTTGGACTGATTCACAAAGGAAACTCAGCTGCTCATACTCAAATCATCTCATACCTCCCCACAGAAGGACAGGCAGGGTGGGTGGGGTGCGCTGCCTTCAGCACAGAGAAGGACAGAAATGCCAGGGGAGCTTTGCCAAGTAATTTTCCTCCTCTTCTCTCACTTTTTTAGTCCTCCACTTCCACCAATTAAAGTCATCAGGGCAATAAATGCCATGCAGTAAGTCTGTCTAATGGCAGCTCAAGTAAGAAGCTCCCAGAACCAAAGTTGGACATACTATAAAATTTCCTTGAGGTTGTGCCAATGCAGCACTCTTGTGTGTCCTGCTGACAGTGACTGAACGCAGCAGCAGCAGTTCAGTAATTTCCTTGTCCTGGAAGAACAGGAAGGAATGCA